TAGGGAGGACCAGAGATCTCTTCAAGAATATTGGAGATATGAAGGGAACGTTTCATGCAAAGATGGGCATGATAAAGGACCAAAATGGCAGGGACCTAACAGAGGCAGAAGAGATTAAGAAGAGGTGGCAAGATTACACAGAGGAACTATACAAGAAAGAGCTTAACATCCCTGATAAACACGATGGGGTGGTCACTGACCTCGAGCCAGACATCCTGGAATGTGAAGTCAAGTGGGCCTAAGGAAGTCTGAGCAACAACAAAGCTAGTGGAGGTGACAGTATTCCAGCTGAGCTATTCAAAGTCTTAAAAGACAATGCAGTTAAAGTGCTACACTCAATATGCCAGCAAATTTGGAAAACTCAGCAGTGGCCACAGGATTGGAAAAGGTCAGTTTACATTCTGATCCCAAAGAAGGGCAATGCCAAAGAATGTTCAAACTACCGCACCATTGCACTCATTTCACATGCTAGCAAGTTATGCTCAGAATCCTACAAGCTAGGCTTCAGCAGTATGTGGACCGAGAACTACTAGAAGTATAGGCAGGGTTTTGAAGAGGGAGAAGAATGAGAGATCAAATTGCCAACATACCCTGGATCATGGAGAAAGCTAGGAAGTTCCAGAAAACATCAACTTCTGCTTCATTGACTATGCTAAAGCTTTTGATTGTGTGGATCACAACAAATTGTGGCAAGCTCTTAAAGAGATGGGAGTACCAGACCATCTTATTTGTCTCTTGAGAAACCTATATGTGGGTCAAGAAGCAACAGTGAGAACTGGACATGGAACCACTGATTGGTTCAAAATAGAGAAAGGAATTCAGCAAGGCTGTATACTGTCGCCCTGCCTATTTAACTTACATGCAGAGCACATCATGAGAAAGGCGGGACTAGATGAATCACCAGTTGGAATTAAGATTGCTGGGAGAAATATCAACAACCTCAGATATGCACTCTAATGGCAGAAAGCGAAGAGGAACTAAAGAGTCTCTTGATGCGGGTGAAGGAGGAGAGCACAAAAGTTGGCTTGAAACTCAACATTAAGAAAACTTAAGATCTTGGCATCCGGTCCTCTCACTTCCTGGCAGATAGATGGGGAAGAAATGGAGATAGTGACAGATTTTATTTTCCTGGGCTCCAAGATCACCACAGAAGAGGACTGCAGTCAAGAAATTAAAAAACACTTGCTCCTGGGGAGGAAAGCTATGGCAAATCTAGACAGCTTACTAAAAAGCAGAGACATCACCCTGCCAACAAAAGTGCGTATAGTCAAGGCTATGGTTTTCCTAGTGGCAATGGATGGCTGTGAAAGCTGGACCATAAGGAAGGCTGAGCACCAAAGAATTGAGGCCCTTGAATTGTGATGCTGGAAAAGACTCCTGCGAGCCCCTTGGACAGCAAGGCGATCAAACCAGTCAGTCCTAGAGGAGATCAACCCTGACTGCTCTTTCGAAGGCCAGATACTGAAGATGAAACTCAAATACTTTGGCCACCAAATGAGAAGGAAGGCCTCCCTGGAGAAGAGCCTAATGCTGGGAAGAATAGATGGCAAAAGAAGAAGGGGACGGCAGAGGATGAGGTGGCTAGATGGAGTCACTGAAGCAGTTGGTATGAGCTTGAGTGAACTCTGGGGGATGGTGGAGGACAGGAAGGCCTGGAGGAATGCTGTCTGTGGGGTTGCAATGGGTCGGACACGACTTCGCGACTAACAACAACAAATCAGCTATGGATGAACAGTAGACCAGTATCCTGGAGCAGATCTTTGACTGACTTGCAATAGATTGGTAAGGACTTATAACTTCCAATTGTTTTACAAGAGTACACATTAAAATGAGTCCCTCAACCCTTTCCTCAATGATTTTGAAGAGAGAGAAGCTTGGGGGAACTAAGAATTGATTTTTCTGTTTGAGCTAGGCTCTGGTATGGTACTCAGAGATGCTTAAAGGCACCATATTCATTCGAAGTGAGGAAATTACAGGCCAGTTAGCTTAACATCTGTTCTGGGTAAATTGCTTGAAAGCAATGTAGGGACAAACCCTACCAGAAAAAAAAAATCAGTATGACTTCTGTAAGAGGAAGTCTTACCTCACTAATTGGAGTTTCTTGAAAGTGTCAATAAGCATGTAGACAGGGGTGATCCAGTAGACCAAAGGCTCCTGAGCAAACTAAGCACTCATGGAATAATGGGAGGGGGGTCCTCTTATAGATTACAGCTATGGCAGCTATGCCATGGAGTACCACAGGGCTCCATTTTGTCCCCTTTGCTGTTTAACATCTATATGAAATCGCTGGGAGAGGTATCAGTACACTGATGATACCCAGCTCTACCTCTCATTTTCCACTAATCCAGGTGAGGCAGTGGCTGTGCTGAACCGGTGTCTGGCCGGGGTAATGGGCTGGATGAGGGCCAATAAACTGAAGCTCAATCCAGACAAGACGGAGGTCCTGTTGGTTGGCGGATCGGGCTTCGGAGAGGGTGGATTTGACCTGGCCCTGAATGGGGTAGCACTCCCTCTTAGGGACAAGGTCTGCAGCTTAGGAGTACTCCTCGACCCGGAGCTTTCATTGGAAGCTCAGGTGACAGCGGTGGCGAGGAGCGCTTTCCTTCAGCTTCAGCTGATTAATCAGCTGTGCCCCTACCTGGAGTACGACTGCCTGGCGACGGTGACACACGCGCTGGTGACTTCCCGCCTTGACTTCTGTAACGCGCTTTACGTGGGGCTTCCCTTGAAGACGGTCCGGATACTTCAATTGGTTCAAAATAGAGCTGCCAGGTTGCTGATGGGGACGGGGCGTTATGTTCACATGACTCCAGTCCTCCGACAGCTTCACTGGCTTCCCATTGAAGTCCGGGCCCAATTCAAGGTGTTGGTTATGACCTATAAAGCCCTAAACGGCTTGGGACCTGGTTACCTGAAGGAGCGCTTACATCCATATATGCCTGACCGCCCCTTGAGATCTGCGGGAGAGGCCCTTCTCCGGGAACCCTCTGTGAAAGAAATTAGGAGGGTAGGTACTTGGAGGAGGGCTTTCTCTGCGGTGGCGCCCAATCTATGGAATGTGCTCCCCAGAGAGGTCCGCCTGGCGCCGTCATTATTTGTGTTTCGGCGCCAGGTGAAGCTTTTTATTTAAACGTCACTTTAATTGTTAACAATATTTACTTATTTATCTGGCCAGGGTGACTTCTTTTCTTTTATAACTTTTCTAACTTCTTTTATATCGTTTATATTTTTTATTTATTTTATATTATTAATTTTAATTTTATATTGTTATTTTTGTGTTGTATTTTATTTTGTTATGTTGTAAGCCACCCCGAGGCTTCGGCAAGGGGCAGCATAGAAATGTTCTAATAATAATAATAATAACAACAACAACAACAATTACTAAGTGGTTAAAGAACAGAAGACAGGGTGGGAATAAATGACAACTTCCCTTAATTGAGAGATGTCACCAGTGGATTATCACAGGGTTTTGTATTAGGACTTGTGTTTTTCAGCCTATTCATTAATGATCTGGAATTAGGAGTAAGTAGTGAAGTGGCCACATTTGCTGATGACACCCAACTATTTGAGGTGGTTAAAGCCAAAAGGGATGATGAGGCGCTCCGAAGGAATGGCTCCAAGCTGGGAG